TAGCTTTTAATATGATGGGCTTTTTAAATGACTCAACACCATACAGTTTCTCTATGTTGAATTAATGATTCCCCAAACAGTTATAAGACAACAGAGGCACAGAAGCTCATTGAATTATTATTATTATTATTTTTTTCTATACAAATGCAAATTGTACTTGAACAAGAGCAACATGAACCCACTCATTTTCAAACTTGAACATGGGCCATGGTTCTTGTAGCCAGATTGAGTTGTCTGAGATCACTCCTGTTTTGCCTGGAAAGGGCAGATATATAGAAACTCAAAGCCATTATCAATGAGTCAGTGCTTGGCTAATGGAAATGGAACAGAACCCTGGAGAGAACATTAAATTGTTGTTTTGGTGCACAACATAGTAAGACATGCACAATTTAGTTTACGGTGCCTATGAGAAACTGAAAAGTATTATTGTGCTGGAAAGTGAATTTTTTCTTAATCTTCTGCTGTCTAACAGAGGCCTGCAGGTTTTGTGCTTAAATATAGTTTTGGAGAATCTATTTTGGGGATCTATGATTCCCTCCATCTTGTCTAGAGCCCCAGTCCTAGCTGAAGAGAAGCAGCCCCATAGCATGATGCTGCCACCACCATGCTTCACCATGGGTATGGTGTTCTTTGGGTGATAAGCTTGATTGTTTTGTTTATACACTAAACATATCTTTTAGCCTCCCTGATAAGTTTTCTTCTTGTCTTTTGATCAATTTTGGAGAGACATCCTGATCTTGGTAATGTGGTGCCCCATTTTCTTCACTTCACAGTGTTCTATGGAATGTCTAATGTTTTGGAAATTCTTTCATAACCCTCTTCTGATTGATATCAACAATGAGATCCTGTGCATGCTTTGTAAGCTCTTTGCAGATCATGGCTTCAGCAGTCAGATGAAACCAAGAAGATGTCAAGAAGATCTTACAGAAACAGTTGATCTTTATTTGGAGTTAATCAGAACAACGTCATTGACTGCACATGTATGATGTGCCATGAACATGTGATTTGAATGTGAGGTTAATCCTGAGCACAGTCACATGCCCCTTTATAAAAGGCTGTGCACCCGTATGCAACCAGGCTATTGTAAGTTTTTTTCTTTTTTTCCCTAAAATGTTTCTACTTGTTTTTCATTCATGTTAAAAATGGAAAACGATTTGATGTGATTTATCTTGGTTTCAATTTTTTACATCACAAAAACCTGCAATTTTTACTGCGGTGCCCATACTTTTTATATCCACTGTATCTAGAGTAAGAAGTGATAGCCTGTTAATTTTTAAAAGATAATCACTGTTCACAACCAATGTAGAAATAATGTTCCTTATAATTAGACCCCATTATTATTTTACTATAACAGCACTACACACATAATAAAAATTACTTTACATAATAAAAATCCCACAGATGGTAGTATAAAAATATTTGTCACACAGTGTACAGAAACTGGTTCCCACTTTTATTACATAGCTTTGGATGAATGTAATGCTTAGCAGGAGCCAAAACAAGCTCCAGTTATTCCATAAAGCCAAATGTACGAGAATCAAAAAAAGATTGACCATATTAGCACTATTTTATACATTACATGAACTGACAGTTATATTTATTGCGAAATATGTCTATGTACATGGTCTTGGCCCACAGTATTTAGATGAACTGAGCTCTTATGATCCGTCACACCTACTTTAATCATAGGATACAGGATTTTTTAAATCACTACTTAGAATTATGAAAATTACAGGCCCAGAGCTTACTAAACTCCAGAAGGTAAGATTCTTCTCTCAACTGAAGTAAAGCTGATATACAGAGAATCCTGTTTAGCAGTCTGTGAATTGAGACAGAAATATAGACTGTCCTCAGTATATCATATCCACTGGCTGAGAGTTACTCTCAGTCCCAAACTGACAGAAATCACAATGTAATAGGCAACAGCTATATATCATTCAACCTCACAGTCCACCTCTGCTTCATGCTGTGTCTTATGTTTAGCCACATTTTAGCAGAACCATCTTAACAGTTAAGTCTTGAGATTTAGAAAAGACCACATAAAGGAACATATGATAAAAAAACAAGTTCCAGCCAAGACATGTTTGGCGTCCATTGTTAGTACGCATTTAGGCATGCAGTTTCCACAAAATTTTTTTTTTTTTGGCTAAAATGCATAAATCAATGTTAACTGGCAAAAAAAATATATTTTCACTGGTAATAAAAAATATTCAGACTATCTGCAATGCAGCTTTTACTAGTAGATACAGTAATTCTAGATATCTAGTATGAAATATCACCTAGTCATAATATCAGATCTGCATTAGAGGTGTGCACTGGGACTAAGTGCATCGGGTGTGCGGAACCCAACAAAAAAGTCACAGGAGCATGCAGTCACCCTACGTTCACCCAAGCAACCACAAAGCGACCTTTTCTTTTCTTTTTTATGTACAGTACAGGCACAACACAGAGCCACAAATTCAGCAACAGCAGCAAGCGACAATACAACTGAGGCTTTCTCAATTCTATGCAAATTAGGAATGATGGAGTCATAATTCCAAGGTGACATATCAGACTATTGACTAATACATATTGACTAGTCATAGGCTTCTTTATCATTCATTTACATGGAATCTCAGTTGACTTGTCAATTTTGACAAGTCAAACATGGAGTGATTTTGACTACTGATAATGTGTATTTAAGATATAATGAATCATAATTATATTAGGGATGTCTAGAACTTGCATTTCTACTAGTGAATTAAGCAGTAAGACACAGTGTTATAGGAAAATTGTCAATAACGTGGTGGCCAAAGTTAATTATTTTCCTATAGAAGTGTTTTATTTCTTTTTTTTATACCACAGCAATTTGCCAACAATTAATTTTTTCTTCCGTTTATTAAAGAGGGACACGTTATACATTTTGGTCCATTTATAGATACATTTAATGTTAATTGTCCATGAAACAAGATAGTTCCTGTTATCAGTTACATTATAGCAGCTATAAACGGTTGTTCCCTCACCAGCCTCTCTTTTTTCCCTAAGTTAAAAAAGTGATGCTACAAACAAACCGGAAAGCTCACAAAACGTCGCCATATTAACAATTACACATGCTTTTTGGATCTGTTTATTATTAGACTTAGTTTATGTCCACCAAACAAATTCCTGTGAATGAGTCATTTCTATAGAAACAATAATATATTAGAACAAGTGCTTTAATATAAACCTGTGACTTGTAGCTACTGTCAGAGCTGCTGTTAGAGGAAATGAATCAACACCTTCTAACCAATCAGAATTCAGAATTCAACATCTCTGTGAGATAAAATGTAATTATACGTACATGGAACTGGAATTTCAACTAGTCAAAATTAGTTTAGATACAGTATGTTGAACTGGAGTCTTTGCTAGTCAAAACTGATTTATGCTCACTTGAACTGGAAGCACTTTAGACTAAAACGGCTTGCTGTAGTCTTTATTGATTCCAGAGAAACGCCGAAGGGCATTTTGAGGGGTGTATGCTTTTTAATTGCTGGTTATCCAGCAGGGGGTGGTACAGTCCTGTCATCTCTCACATTTCAGTCATCTCTCTCTCTTGCTCTCTCTCTCTCTCTCATTTCCCTCTGAACTCTGAGATAAAGGACACCCCTTTGGAAGCCATCCATCTTATATTTCATAACTGCTAAAGGCCATAAAGCTCAAAGGAAGACAACAGTACAGGCCCGACCTTGGACCTGAAACCTCACTTAGACTGATTAAAGTCTTTTAGTGAGCAAGGAACAGTGCAGTGTAATATTGTCTATAATAAATACAGGGAAATGCACTTATAATAATATATCAGAGTAAATTCCATAGCTCCCTCAACTCTCTGGAGCTCCTAAAAACAAAAGAGCAAGAGCTTATTTTCTCACTTACTATCTTCCATTGACATTCAAAGTCATATCACTGAGACATCCAGCGTAGAATTAGTGGAGACGTTGGTGCAAACATTGGATTCAAAATCCCAGAATGCACCATATTTGTGGAATTATTCTCCCTCATATCCATCTCTATGTTCTTTTATCATGTACAAAACAAAATCTCCAATTCATTATAGATAGACAAAATATTTAAATCATTAACTCACACTCATGGCATTAAAACTAGTTAGCTGGAATGTAGGTGGCATTAACTCACCAGCAAAAACAAGTAAGTTTTCAAGTCATCTTAAAAAAACTACAGGCTGATATCTGTCTATATATTATGCATCATATAATTCTAAAAAAGAGGAGTATCAATATTAATCCACAACACTTCATTTACAGCAAAACTGTCATGATGATGCCGGAATCGGCGTCTAACTACACATCCCAGAATTCAGCACGGCCTACAAATATGGCCGCCGACGACTACAACACCCAAACATTCTCACGTTCACACTCACCTGATTACTAATCACACACCTGGACTCAATCATAGTCACAGCCACACACCCAATATTTAAGGACTTTCAGTTCACACATGCATTGTGAAGTATACACTCTGTGTCCTTTTGTGCCAGTTGTTACCAAGCCTTTTGTTACTGTTATAGTCTTTCTGGTTTGACCCGGTTTTGTTGTTCATGTTTTGCTTCTGTCTGCCCTTGTCTATGTTGTTTCTTCATCGCCTGACCCTTGCCTGTTTTTTGAGCACATTTTGGATTATGTCTTTGTCCTGTTTGCTACAGCAATAAATCATTGCACCCCTGCACTTGTCCTCAACTGCATCCTGACAAAAATAAAGAAAAATCAATCAAGAAGATGGATATATTATAATAAATGGCTGAATAAACAATACAACAATCGCTAGCATATATGGACCAAATTCAGATGATCCTTTTTTTTCTCTTCAGCAGCTCCTGCTGATCTGCCATGGTGGATCATTGATCCACATATTTGATTTGGCACAGTTTTTACACCAGATGCCCTTCCTGATGCAACCCTCCCCGGCTTGGGCCTGGCGCTGAGAGCGCACTATATTGTGCGACCCCAGTGGCTGGGAATTGGTTCCCTGGCCGGGAATCAATCCAGGGCCGAGGCGGTGAGAAAGATGAGGCCTAACCACTAGTCCTTCAGGGACCTAAATTCTGATGATTCATTATTCTTTCATAATTTTTTCACCATACTTCATTAGCAATTATAATTGGAGGAGATCTCAATACAGTTATCAACCCAAAACAAGACAGATCAACATGAACCAACTCAAGAATCACTATCACACCAGAATTTATCAAACAATACATGAATAACTTAGGACTTGGCGATAGCTGGAGATTAGAAAATCCTTCCTCAACAGAATATACATTCTTCTCATCAGTCCATCATACCTACTCCTGAATAGACTACTTTCTTTTTAGTAATTCTATAACCCCAAATACTTTGGACAATAAAATAAATCCAAATACCACAGTGCAGTAGAATGCTCGCATCTCGGACCACACACCCATTAGCTTTAAATTAAACAGTAACACTGCATCAAAAACCTCATTCAGATGGCACTTTAACATATCCTTGCTTAACAATGATAGATTTAGGTTTTGTTTCAAGACAGAGAGAAAAAGAGAACTTTCTTTATGGAAACCAATGATTCCCCAGAACTATCACCAGTATTTCTTTGGAAAATGGCTAAAGTAGTACCCCAGGATTCCACATGCAAGAAGAGAAAATCAAAACTAGAAAATAATTTGGAACAAAAACTAAAACACCCACAAAACCTGCATATTACACCCCACAGTACAGACTACAAAAGAAATCAGAGACATTAAAGTTCAACTGAACAATATCATTAGCAACAACAACATCAACAACAACAAAACTCAATTCCAGTTACATCTCTGTGTTAATCATAATGAACACAGCAATAAATCAGGAAAATACTTAACAAACCAGTGTCGCTGGAGACGACAAGTGCAGAGTATTTTATTTAACGTGAAACACACATGAACAAAGACGAGGACTATGTAACATAAACACAAGCATAAACTAGACAAGCGTGAAATACACATGGGTATGGCATGGATACAACAACCTATAACACTACTACTTGCAACAGACTCTAGACTAAGCTTGCTATACAAGCATGACTTATATACTGGTGCTACTGGTTCGTGACCATGTGACTTAGTCCATGACATGAACATGTAGTTTGCAGTGGCTGATGGGTGCTGTAGTCTGTAACCTGACAACCAGCCTAATTGCAATAAACAAAATTTTATAGTTATATCATTATAACCACTTTAAAATTTAATCACAATTAATTAATGAACCACAATTAACAATTTAACAGGGAATATTATCCATGACACAGAAGCAATAAACATTATAAAATTATAAAATAAAAAAAAATAAAAATAAATTTATTATAGAACATTATACATCTCAAAGAATACATGTAGCTAATCAGAATACCGCATGAAGAACAAAGAAAAACTTAAAAAAAAAACTCCACTAACACTTAAGGGTTATAAAAAAATACTAAAGAACCTCCCAAACAATAAATTGCCAAGCTACCCACTATCCCCTAGCGATCCCCCAGCTTAGCGAGCTCAAGTACTAAAAACAGCTAACATGACTAGCCGACTATTATAGAAACTTTGCTAGATAGCTTGATAAGTAAACTTTCCTCCTTGTGCTTTGATTGGCAAGTTTTTCACATATAGCATGATGAATTACACTCACCACCCACTTTAATAGGAACACCTGTACACCTGCTCATTTATGTGGTTATCCAATCAGCCAATCATGTGGCAGCAGCACAATGCATAAAATCATGCAGATACAGGTCAAGTGCTTCAGTTAATATTCACATCAAACATCAGAATTGGGAAAAAATGTGATCTCTGTGACTTTAACCGTGGCATGTTTATTGGTACCAGATTGGCTGGTTTGAGTATGTCATAAACTGCTGATTTCCTGGGAAAATCACACAAAGGTCTCTACAGTTTTTACAGAATGGAGTGAAAATCAAAAAACACTGAGTGAGCAACAGTTCTGTGGGTGGAAATGCCTTGTTGATGAGAGAGGTCAGAAGAAAATGGCCAGATTTGTTTGAGCTGCCAGGAAGGATATAGTAACTCAAATAATCACTCTTTACAACTGTGGTGAGCAGAAAAGCATCTCAGCATGCACAAAATATTGAACCTTGAGGTGGATGAGCTACAAAAGCAGAAGACCACATCAGGTTCCACTTCTGTCAGTCAAGAGCTAGACTCTGAGGCTCACACGGGCACAGGCTCATTGAAACTAGACAGTTATAGGTTAAAAAAAAACCCACCTTGTCTTTTTCCAGTCTTCAACTGTCCAGTTTGGGTGAGTCTGTGTCCATGATAGCCTCAGATTCCTGTTCTTGGCTGACAGGAGTGGAACCTGATGTGGTCTTCTGCAGTTGTAGCCCATCCACCTCAAGGTTTGATTTGTTGTGCGTTATGCTGCTCACCATGCTTATACCATCTGTATCTTGTCATTTGCACTACCATGGTAACTCGCCCTTACACCTCATTCAGAACTAGTCTTCTTGCACATTACTGACTAATTACTACATGCACCTTCTATATTTGCACTGAGCTGGTCTCTACTTATAGAGACCAGCTTATATATCTAGCTTATAATCTACTTATATATATATATATATATATATATATATATATATATATATATATATATATATATATATATATATATATATATATATATACACACAGTACTGTGCAAAAGTCTTAGGTACCCTTTTTTTTTTTAGTACAAACTTTGTTATAGATTTTTATTATATGACTTCTACATTATTGATTCAGTACAAAAACTTTTTAGATTTCCAAACATTAGTTTTCCAGCACAAAATTAAATGTTGCAGAAAAATGTTTGTATGTCAGTAAAGAAAGCAGAATATTACATAAGAGACCACGTTTCAGACAAAAAACATAATGAAGGCTGCTGGGGTTTGCTGCAAAAATAAGAAGCAAGTGTGACAGTCAAAGTCTCCAGAAGAACTGTGGCTGCTTCTGCAAGATGCTCAGTAACACTTACAGCTCATTTCCTTACAAAACTGCACAAATTGTACCTGAGACTAGTATTTTTTTTTTAAAGTAGGAACATTTAACATTTGATTTCATTATTTCTGAAGGCATCTTTGCTCTACAGCATTTCTTTGCATGTGCCTAAGACTTTTGCACAGTACTGTGTATATATGTGTATATATATATATATATACATACATATATATAATATATATTAATAATATATATATATATATATATTGCTATTTGCACTTCTGGTTAGATGCTAACTGCATTTCATTGGCTCTGTACCGGTACTCTGCACAATGACGATAAAGTTGATCTGATCTAATCTAAAGAGTGCTTATTTGAGTTACTATAGACTTCCTGTAAGCTCAGACCAGTCTGGTTATTCTCCTCTGATCTCTCTCATCAACAAGGTGTTTCAGTCTGCAGAGCCTCCACTCACAGGATGTTTTCTGTTTTTCACACCATTCTGTGTAAACTCTAGAGACTGTTGTGTGTGAAAATCCCATGAGATCAACAGTTTCTGAAATACTCAAAGCGGCTGGTGTGTATATTGATATACTATATTTAATATAATAATATAATAATAATATAATAATATGATATTCGCAATCATGACCAAATACATTATTTATATTGCCTAATATTCTTAAATATAGTTCAAAATTTAAATTTAGAATTATTGCATTTATTTCATGCATCAGACCATCTGCCTATGACCTATGACATTATGACCATCTGCCTAATATTGTGTTTGTCCCCCTTTTGCTGCCAACACAGCCCTGACCCATCGAGGCATGGACTCCACTAGATCCCTGAAGGTGTGCTGTGGTATCTGGCACAAAGACGTTAACAGCAGATCCTTTAAGTCCTGTAAGTTGCGAGGTGGGGCCTCCATGGATCAGACTTGAGGGCCAGCACATCCCACAGATGCCCGATCGGATTGAGATCTGGGGAATTTGGAGTCTAAGTCAATACCTTGAACTCTTTGTCATGTTCCCCGAACCATTCCTGAATAATTTTTACAGTGTGGCAGGGCGCATTATCCTGCCGAAAGAGGTCATTTCCATTAGGGAATACCGTTGCCATGAAGGGGTGTACCTGGTCTGCAACAATGTTTAGGTAGGTGGTATGTGTCAAAATAGCATCCACATGAATGCCAGGACCCAAAGTTTCCCAGCAGAACATTGCCCAGACCATCACACTGCCTCCTCCAGCTTGCGTTCTTCCCATAGTGCATGCTGGTGCCATCTCTTCCCCAGGTAAACGATGCACACACACCTGGCCGTCCACATGATGTAAAAGAAAATGTGATTTATCGGACCAGGCCACCTTCTTCCATTGCTCCATGGTCCAGTTCTGATGCTCACCTGTCCATTGTAGGCACTTTTGGCAGTGGACAGAAGTCAGCATTGCTGCCTAATATATCTCAATCCTTGACAGGTGCTATTGTAACGAGATAATCAATATTATTCACGTCACCTGTCAGTGGTCATAATGTTATGGCTGATCGGTGTATATTGTGTGCATATATTTTGAAATATATTACCTTTGCGTCCTTTTCTTCATTTGGATGAGGATCTACAGACATGATGCTCATATTCATTATGGTAAATTACCTTCACACTTCTATCCATTCATTTGACAACAGTGAGATTTCAGTAGGAAATGAGATAAGTGTACTAAACAAAAGCAGCACATTTCACAATGCCAGAAAGTTGTTATGAAATCTTTTTAAAGCAATAAGCAAATTCTCCATGTGAAGGATTTTTCCTGAGCTGTTTTTTTGCATTTTTCGCTTCGAGTCCAGTGGAACATTTCCTCAGAATTCATCACTTTTTAGGTTGTTCATGTTCTCAGCTTCTCTGTGGGTATCTGAAATTGGCCATGTGCTGTCAGCAGGAGGTTTCGGCTTGTTTGTGTTTGGACCTGAGCAGACGTTTCAGTGAAAGGAATGTCAGAATGCACCCAAGTGTAAACCCTCAACAAACAAACCTGTTACGCTCCACAAACTGCTCTAAAGTCTTTTATACACTCAGCAAAGAAAAACAGATCTTTAGA